AAATCTATCTGTCCCTCTCTGTGATTCTGCCAGCAGTGTGAAGCTGGCTGACCCACTCAATGTACAGAAGAAAACAGTGTGCTTCAGAAGTCACAGAATCATAGAATTGTTTAGGTTGGAAAAGACCTTTAAGATCATCCAGTCCAACCATTAACCTACACTTCCAAAAGTCCTCCCAAAGCAAGACTGGGTAATGACCTGCTTCACTGCAGTTCTTCGCTGTAACTTCTAATGTCATATTCCTCAGAAGACTTTTTCTCCGTAAACAGGTCTTACACAGGAATGAAACCCTATGATAAGTCTCCCACCTTACTTCAGCCTTATCTTTAATGACAAAGTTACTTTTTCTTTGAAATTTCAAATATTTTAAATCAAAATAATTATCATTTACAAGTAAATTTAGTATCTAGTTCAAGAAGAGAAGACAGACAATGCTCTTTTGTGTCAATGATGTCTAACGATTTTCTGTGCAACTGAACTCGTATGATGGCAGATACAGCTCAAAACTGAACGGCGGTATCTTTCAGTTTGTACTTCGCATAGGAAACTGCTACAGAGATGAGAAGGCCTTTTGCATTCCAAGTACATCTACATTGATACATCATGCAGTCATATTACAAATGCAACACATGTTTAGAGCAATTCAAATTTTGAGTTGTACAGCAAAATGATTGCTAATTAACCCCTGATGATCACAAAAGCAGCTCTTTTATTTTCAGCTATTACCAAGGAAAATTCCTTTCACATGACAGTGAAGGCTAGAGCCTTAATGCCAGAATGAGACTAGATTAGAAGAAAAAAGTGACATGTAGAAAGCATACTTTCAAGATACAGACAGTTCAGACATAAACAGTTCATATATGGTCTGAGCTCACCCAGGAAGTGCTAATTGCTTATTGCTGAAGTTATTATTGCTTTATATTTTTGTAAAATTAGGTAAGAATCACCATGAGTAATTCAGAAAAAAAAAGTGTTTTCTCTGGAATGCAGTGGTACTAAATAATCCTCTTGCAGAAACACAGAGAGAAAAAAAAAAATCTTACATACTTTTGCCTTTTAAGGGCTATAAAAATTGTACCAGAATGATAAGGTACTGTACTTTCATTTAAATAATATCTATGTAAAACGTAAATTGACGTAAAAATTTCCAACTAGTTTACTGAAAGCATGGTCAATACTGTACTTGGGAGTTTCTATAAATAGATTACAATCATGCAATTTAAGACCAGATTTTGGAATGTGAAACACAGTTATGTCACCGAGCACAGGTCATTGTCTTGTTCCTTCCAGCAAGAATGTAGCTATCAAGAACATTTCACGCTCAGATCAACTGTGCATTTAAGTATCACTTGCTTTCAACACCCACTGAATAAAAATAGAAAGGGACAACAGAGAAAGCTAAAAAAGCACACAGTAATTTAATCATGTATTTTTAAGCTGCTGGCCCTCCCCCTGTATTTCCTGCACAATGCAAATTTCAGCACCAACTTCAGTGAAGCCAGAATTTAATCCATGGAGTTCATTTAAGAATTTTAAAGGGGGAGGGTAAAACACAAGCTCAGTGGCCACAGCTAAAGAAATAAAAAAGATGACAGGGAAGAATACTGTCCACCTGAATCCTAGCATGTGTTTTGTCTCCGTTAACTTCCCTACATTAAAGAGAGACCTTTGTGCCAACTTTATTTAAATGGTATTTCACAGTCACTTAACCTCTTTGCCTCAGACTTCAGCATCTGTATAAAATGGGGAAACAAAAGCCTATTATCTCATGGAAATACTATGAAGATGCTTAAAAACATGCTACTTAGCAGTATCTGTTCTGAATATTAACTTATCTGCGCCCTCATAAACTTTTTTCTCAATATTTTTAATTTCACAACAAACTATACATTAAAATTTTTGAAAGCAAACAATGAAGTCTTTTAGTTGATCAATATATACTCTAAACTGTATGTAGGAGTAATCTCCAGAAGTATAAGTGATACAGAATAAAATTTTTCTCTTAAGAGGTAAACTTTCCCTTTGAGACTCTGAAAAAGGTCAGCATAAGCTGTTCAATACTATCTAGTGTAGTACATAAACAGCTTAAACATTTTTGAACTTCTTTTCTCCTTTCATGTTCTGGATAGCATGGCTTTGGACATTGAAAGGAAACTCACAGAAGCATCAGTTGTTTAAGAACTATAAGATCCACAAATCTATCTTCTGAAAAGAAAAAATGCCTCTCGTACACAGTTTAAGCTATATAGATCTAAGAGAAATGGGAAAGTATGATGTTATTTCCCATATGCCATGCCACTTAACACAAACGTCAAACTTATGAATTTTGTAATCATGAACCTAAGTTGTTCAAGTGTACATTACCTCCTCTGCAACTTGCACAGAGGTACATACAAGCATATGTAAAAAATGGACACTGCTTTGTGGATGCGAACAAAAGTAATTTTTTAAACTTTCAACAATTACTTCATCCATCCAAATGCATAAATAGACATTGGCATACCAGTTTTAATATACTGACAACAGGGTATCTACTTGTAGGACAGCACACTGAGAATCACCAACAGAAGACTGGGTCTCTGCCCATGACAGTGAAGATTTCCTACAAAACTGTGCCTCGCATGCATTTACTGAATAACAAGTGCATCCTTATGATATACTGGATAGTGACAGAAGATCCTACTAGGCTCAAGCAATTTGCAATAACAATACAACTTTGACAAACTCTGCTCCAGTGTTGACAAGCTATTTTGGTGTCTGGCAACAAACTTGGAGAAGTCACTGCAGCTCATGACAGTATCTACGCTGTAAGACAAATGCACTGCAGACTACAAGACACAGTCCTGGTTCCTCATGCTCTGGGACACACTCCTGTTAACATTCTACTCAATATAACCTACCGTTTAGACAACTATCTCTGGTTCTAGTTTTCTAAAGAGTTTTATATAGCTATTACAGTAATTTACATTTTTCCTAGCTTACTTTACTCACAGAAAACCACATAAAACAATCTTAAAAAGAAACTGAAAGCACACCCTCCCCCCCCCCCCCCCCCCTCTCTATTTTT